CGTTATTATTTGCATCTACGCATCTGACACAAATGATAAGTTGACACAAATCATTTATATCTGTGCTTTCATCTATGCAAAATGAAAAAATTCACAGTTTTTTTAATTTTTCAATAATAGCGGACTCTACAAAAATTCCTAGTTGATTTGTTCGCCGAACTACGCTATTCCGAGATAACGGGAGGGACTTTATAAACTTTAAATTGTACTTCAATTTTTCAAAACATTTATATAAAATATTTTTAATAAATATTCCATCAAAAAATGGTCTACCATGTTTAACAATATCTAAACTTATAAGAGTTGACAACTCTTTTTTTAAACTTTTATCATCTAAATTCTTTTCGTTGGCTTCCCTACCAGATAACCAATTCCTTAGTTTTTCCAAAAAAATAATTTTATATTTTAAAAATAATTTTTCTTTTTCCCTATCACTAAATCTATCCCTATTACTATGAAAGGAATCATAATGTCTTTTTAAAACAAATCCCCTAATTTCCTTAAATGTTTTATAACATAATAGTATTGTCAAACGCATTAATAATCATAAAATATTTTTCGCATGCCATATTAAATTCTTTCAGTGCTGTAAACAAAAATATTGAAATAAAATCGTACACCCGCTACACATGTGCATTCGTCGCTGGCTCAGTGACGACTAAACAAAAGAGAATAAGAATATGTGTGTGTTTTAGTCAGCACAATTGTGCTATGAAATGGACATCGTTGCAGTAAAACCAACAGACATCCAAACATACGAAACGAAGTACATAAAAAAACAAAATACACAACGCAATGAAACGAACAGACATCCAAACATACGAATACACTAAGAAACAAAAACAATATACACAAGGCAATGAAACACACAGCCATCCAAACATACGAAACTGAATACACCAAGAAACAAAAACAACATACACATGGCAATGAAACACACAGCCATTCAAACATACGAAACGAAATAATCAAAAAACAAAAACAAAATACACAACGCAATGAATAAGCAGTGTTGTTGTTGCTTATTTTTTATGAAATTTTCAGAGATTGTCTCGGATTTTTGCTTATATCTCCGTTGTTTATGGACGGATTTTAAATAGGAAACTTCTCGAAAGCATGTCTGATAGAATTATTGAAGATTTGGATCCCAAAGATATCTGGGGTCTTCAGAAAACTGATTTCAACAGACAGACAGACGGACATGGCTTACTCGACTTCGCTATCTATAAGGATTCAGAATATATATACTTTATAGGGTCGGAAAATGATATTTTGGAAATTACAAACGGAATGACAAACTTATATATACCCTTCTCACGAAGGTGAAGGGTATAAAAATAAAAAAAATCGCTAAGAGAAAGACACTCTATATTGTTTTAAAAACGCTAGATTGTCAATATTTATTATGATTTTTCACAACGAAGAAACTCTTTTAAAAACTAATTTATGATAAAAAAAATTAGAATAAATCTAATTGCAAATAATTTTTTAATATTTGTGTGTTATTAATTTATATATTTCTTTCTAAAAATGTAAAACTTACCAAATTTTCGTTTTCTTTGGGTTGTTTACATATTTATTAATAAACCATATGTTGTGAACACATGTTTAATATTTTTTACTGGAGAAAAAATATTCAGTAAAATTAAAAAAATCTCTATCAACGAACTGTCATTTTTATCGCTCTCTTACTCTCTCGTTGAAAGTTTTCAAAAGTACGCGAAAGGAATCTAGTAACAATTGTTACAAATTATTACAAATTGTTACAAATTATCGAGTACACGAACAGACCTATTATTGGCTAGCTAAATAATAAATTTGAACTAGCTTTTTGTGCAAATTTTGTGGTAAGACAGAATTGTTATTCTGTAGACAGAATATAGCCATTATTAGTTTAAAACGTGTGCCGGAACGAAAGATTTTGTGATTTTGGTGGGAGAGAAGAACACCAAATATATCTAGTTGTGGAAAATATAAATAAAAGTGCTATTTAAGTAAGGTTTTTCTTAATTTAAAAGAAAATACAATTTCTGAAATGTTTGTTTAATGTAAACAAACAGAAATTTTGACAATTGGGTTGAAACTGCTGCCGAGGTAACCTTATTTAACCCTTTCAGGGTCAAAAATAAGTTATGTCGAGAAAAAACTTGAAAACTTGTATTTAAGATAATTTAAGTATGCTGAATTCGGGAAAAATAATATTTTTTGAATTAGTGTTATCCCTAGTAAAATATAAGACATCAAAATTAAATATCGAATATATTCGACATTTCAAAAACTGTCATCAAAAAGTACCACCAATATTTTTTATATTGTTTTGTAAAATGTCTTCTTACACTTATAACAATACAATACAATTTAAATTCGTATAGTCCGATCTAGCAAAATACTATTTTTTTGGCCATTAAATGAAGCTGTTTTTTATATGTTGTTAAAAAGCACTTTTTCAAAAGTAGTCATTAGTGATAATTTCTTAAAACCTGATTTAAAAATACTTTAAAAATATGGAAGATCATTCAAAATCTCAATTATAAATATAATGAAGTCTTAAGTTTAATCTAAAAGAAGAAAATTAAAACTAAAGTTAAAAATTATACTGATAAAATGACAAAACCACCATAAACAAAAGACAAAACCAAAATAAATTCAATAATAACAAAAAATATAAAATTCAATTTATAAATTTTAAATAGGAAACTTCTCGAAGATATCTGGGGTCTTCAGAAAACTGATTTCAACAGACAGACAGACAGACAGACGGAAATGGCTTAATCGACTCCGCTATCTAAGTGTAAGGATTCAGAATATGTATACTTTATGGGGTCGGAAAATTATAATTTGAAAATTACAAACGGAATGACAAACTAATATACATATACCCTTCGCACGAAGGTGAAGGGTATAAAAAGAGTAATTTTTACAAAATTCGAGAGCAAAATCAGAAGGAGTGGGTAAAGCAATATTAGATTTCAAAGAAATGAAATATAAAGTTTTATATAAAATACAGGATACAGTATCTCAGGCTAAAATAGCTAGGGTATAGGTTCCACGACGAACTGGGAGAAATTTCGGGACTTAACCCTTGCAATCTATTAGGTTTTGTCAGGGGAATTAGTCACTTCTTTGGCTGGGCTTTATAAGGAATAGACCCGTTTTTCTATTCATATAACTTCTTTACCTATCTTCTTATATTCTTGTCTTATTGTAGTGTTCCTTCTTTCTCTTTTTTTTAATCTTCACTTCTTGAAGGGAATGAATAGACCGTTGTTTCTATGGTGTATAACCCTTCTTAACCTAAACCTACATATAAATTAAACTGCAAAAATCGCCTTTCTTGTCAAAAAAACAAAAAATATGATAAATAAAAAAAAAAATAAATATAACTACCTTCTAATATTTTTTATACCATGTATTGTACTTTGCAAATATGTTTAATTTTAATCAGTCATGATACAATTTCTTATGTATTAATATTTCGGGTCCTAATGAAAATCAGGCCATTTGGCTCTAGGCCCCATACAAAGATGAATTTAGAAATTCCCCTATTACTGGATCGCCCTAAAGAAATTCGTACAGTCTAATATGTTCTGTTGTTCTATATATGCATATTCTACTATTTACTTTATATGGGTGGTGCCACGCTCACTTTCATTATAAATATTTTATCAAAAATATTTATTAAACTAAAACTAATGTTGCTTGTACAAAATTTGAGACGTCTTGCTGTTATAGTTTTCCAATATATCCATTTTGTTATTAGCTTACAATAGTAGATAATGTAGTATATGTTGTCGTGGCATCTCGCTTACTTGAAATTTCAAAATAAAAAGTAGCCTACAGTTTTTTCCCTACATACAAGATTACACTGATAATTGGTTCAGCCGTTTAGTCGTCTATAAACTTCAAATATACAAACAAACACACATTCTTTTTACATAGTACATAGATTTCCCATAAAATGTATTTTTTTTCGCATTCAAGTGCACGATAATGGCCTGGGGAATTTTCAATAACCTTTAAAATTTTCAACCAATTTTTGTGTTTGTATGTATATCATTTTGAAATGTTTATTCTGTGTACGATTCCTTTACAATAAAAAGCAAAAGTAATTCACCCCTATTCTGCATTTCGATTCGAATCGAAATTTTCTCCGTTTGTCAACTTTGGTATTCTGCATTTTGATTCGAAGCTCTGTCACTAAAATAACAACTTAGAGCGGGTTTTTGAAATGATAATCAAATGCCAATTAATAATCAGATTAGTTAATCTAAAAATAAATTAAATCTTTGATGTTTTTGAGTACAAGATTAAACTTCGCAGTGTTGCCATACAAAACAACAGAAAACTTCACTGTTTGTTATCAAAACAATATATTTTATAAAAAAGAAAAAGACAATTATTATTACACAATTAAAATTTTAAAATTAATGAAAACTTAAATTAACAACAAAAAAATGTATTTTGAAGTGTCTATAGTTTATACTAATCAAAAAATAGAACATTAATGTTTATATTTATAAAAATTGTATTATTTTTTTTGCATCAGCTGTTTACACTTTTGCATTTCGTGCTTAAGATTAAACCACCTCCATTGTGCAAACAAAATTAACTAATTGAGTACTCAAAAACATCTTTCGAGGATTAATTTAATTTAATCGCTGATCTTTCACCTAAATATTGGCCCTTAGAAATACGTAGTTACGATCGTAATGCAGAATACACACAATCGTAAAGCATTGAAATAAAATGGAATTGTTTCTTCTTTTTCCTACGAATCGTAGCGCAACTGAATGCAGAAACGTAATCGAAATGCAGAACAGGGGTGATTATTTAATGAAAAGATCTATATTTTCCCCATTGTAATAGCACCTCAAAACTTCAAAATTTATTTGTTTTATTCTCTAAAAAAAAATTTATGTAAAAATGTATACATTTTTGAAATGTTTTGATTTTTGATAATATTTTTTAATAAATTTTAAATTATGGATTTTTTTACAAAGATCTTATTTTCAGGATGTGCCAATTATAAAATATTAATTTTTACTATCTTTTCGGAAAAAAATTTAATAAAAACCGTAAAATGGATTTAAGCAAAACAACATTACAGGATATAGACAACAGGAAATCTGAAGAATTGTTAAGTGAAAATCAGGACCTTGACAAATTTTTTATTAACAATTCCAGTTGTAACCCAATCAGCCATGAATCAATAAAAGAACCTCGTGGCACCTACGATTTAGGTAATGATTTCAAACCTGAATCATATTATGATCAAAAGGAGTCATGTAATGAAACACAAGTCGCAATAAATTTAAAATATAAACAATTGGAACACAGCGAAATGCAGAATCGTTATACCACTCCAGTAACTGATATCGATGTGTCATCAACTATGAATGATTTAAGTAACTTGGAAACAAATAATGTAAATAATGTTAAATATGGATTTCCAAACATAACAAATAACGAGTTTAAACTTGAAGCAAGCAAAAGCTTAAATTCAAATATTAGCGACATGAAAACAGTTGATGAACAATTAAATAATAATAAGTGAGAATTTATATTTCATTTATATATTTATGTAATATATAATAATAATGTTTATTTCAGATTAACAAATACCGATGTACATAAAATAAATAAAAATGTTGAAACTCAGAAGGGGACTCAACAAGAACTTAAAAAGGACAAAGTGGTAGGAGATGGAGAAACGATTGAAAAAATTGCGGAAATGATTTCAATAAGTAACAAAAATACGAATGAAAATAATCTTAAATCAATAAAAAAACTTCAAATTTTAATGTCTCGAAACTGTATGGAGAAACATTGGAATAAATGTGCTGAAAAATCTACAAGTAATTATCATATTGAAAAAGATAATAACCCAATAAAATTGAGCGAAGATGTTACCGATATTGGCAAAAACCAATCTTTAACTAATTTAATAAACAAAAAAATGGAATGTGTAACAGATTTGCAAAATACATCTGATCTTCAAAATGATATGGAAATCAGTGAAAATAATGAGCAATCAGAAGAAAATTGTTTAGCGAAAAGCCGATTTGAAGAGGTATGTACTATTGTTAATTTGAACTCATTGGTTTTGTTAATTCCCGTTTCTTACGATCTCGATGAAATCCGGTACAAATTTTTAGTTTATTTTAAGAGGGTTGTACACCTACTTTGGTCTCCACTCCATTGTGATTCTCTTTAAAAAGAACAAAAATAATCTGAAAGAAAATAGAAAAGTTAGAGAGATAATTGTGAAATTAATGAATTCTAATCATTCATGGGAATTTTTCATTAAGCTTTAAAATTTACCATTTATAGAAAAATAGAGGTTTGTAACCGTTATCGCTATGCTATCGTTACCGATAAAATACCTTTTGAGAACTACTACCGTTATCGCTAAAATGCCGATACCGAAATAAGTCGAAATACCGATAACGCTAAATTAGCAGTACCGAAATAAGTCAAAATACCGATAACCCTGAAATATCGTTACCTTTATTCTATATACTAAGACTATAGAATACAATATAGACTAGACTATATAATACAATATAGAATAGACCATGGTAATAATATGAAGGTAGTGTCATTTCTCTCTCTCAAAAAATTTTTTAAAGTTTACTGGTATTTTATGAAATTTGTATTTTGTAAATAAATAGAAAAATCTTTACCACATATGAAAAAGGGGGAAACTGTGTTGTGTATGTGGAAAGTATAATTGTGTCCTTAACACTGCAGTAATCAATAAAACTGATTTTTTAAGGTAGGGATACTGTTCGTTTTTGGCAACTCTGAAGTAGATTTAAACTTATTTTTAGAAGCAGTACAAATTTGATATTTGTATGTCAAAAATAAACCACATTCTTCCAATGACACCCTTTTTTAAAAATCATTGGTTTTCACCAGTGATCTTTCTACATCTGTTTCTCATTATTATCTAGGTTTATATTTAAGGATCATAAATGCGGAAAATATGTAATCGCATTTTTAGGTGTGATTAAGATTTCGTGTGTAAAGTATGATTTTCATTTATTGCTGGGTATGAATTTACACAAAACAAACATTAGCCTTTAATATTAAGGGGAACAGCCAAAAAGTGGAATAAGCATTCTTGCCCTAACCCCAATAATGGTGTCAATATCATTACTCGTTTTTTTTACTTGAAGAAAACCGTGTATTCTTGGACCGAATGGAACACATATTGCACACGTTATTGATACGGACAGCAAATTCTGGTCTGCCATATACCTACATATTTATATGTTGGAAGATAAATTTTAAATGTAACAAGATATAAACTAATATTAATTAAAAAAACGTTTTTATATATAGCAGTTTTATTAGGTTTCTTCTGTTAATCCATTCTCCAACTTGAAGAACATGGGAAGCAACAGACAGTGTCGATCCATTTTATATTGGGCTTAAGAGGAAGCATATAGTTTTGGTTATTCATTTTCCTTATAAAGCTGTTTTCTTTTTGGCAATTTTATTTAAATTTTTATTGTATTAGATTTAAAATTTAGTTTGATTTTCAGTTTAAATTGATTTTTATTTAATTTATTTTGATTGAAAAATAAACAAAAAATGGATTTTTTAAATAAATGTGGTAGCTCGATTTATTAAAATATCAGCAAACGTCAGAAGTTTAATATGGCGTCTAAAAGAGAGAATGACACTACCTTTATATTTTTACCATGGAATAGACTATAGAATATACCATGATTTAAATAATAGAAGGTTGTTTCAACTTTATTTTTTTGACAAGAAAGGAGATATTTGAAGTTTAGTTTTTTGGTAATATTCCAGAAAAACGTTGCCACATTTAGGAAAAGGGTTAAATACTTTAAGACATTTTTAAACATTTTTAACACATTTGTTGTATAAAAATATGCTTTTGACTCAAGTTACCAAATATAAAAATCATTTATAAACAACTTTTCGTTTCTTTTTCTATTATAGCTCTTAACTATTTGAAATAAAACACATAAGAATTATAAAGATTGCGAAAACTTTTATTTATATGTCAATTATAAACGTGAAAGTTGTTTTCTAAAAATGACCTTTTTGGGAGTCTAGTGTAAACTGTGACCAAATTTTCAACATACTCTACAGTATGAGTTCTGGGTACTAAAAAGTAGTATGAAACAGTATTCCTAAAGTATATCCTGAATTCCAGGAAAGAACACAGAAAAAACTGATAATTTTTGACCTCATGTCTTCTAATTTCCTTCATATTATCAATATATGGGCAATTCCATGAAAAGGTAAACCACGACTGAAAAAGTAAAACCCTTATAACTTCTGCATTTTTGAAGATAATTCAACAAAATTTGGTATATGATCTTTTATAGCATCAAAGACGAAGACTGTTGAAAATTTTTGAAATTGGTCTATTTTTACACCTCGCCGCCATACAAACGGACCCGAAAATATCACTTTTTAGCTCATAATTCTGTTAATTATAATACTATCCCTTCAACATGTATATAGGTCGGCACTTTCAATAATATTTAATAATTTTCAAATATAAAATATTAAAAAAACCGACAAAAATAGATGTAATGCACGTCACAACAAAATTTAATTTTATTTTTATATTTTGCATAAAAAGCTTCAAATAATCGATTTATTTTTAAACAGGGAGAACAATTTCAAAAATGCATTCAAAAAGTTTTTTTTTTTTTTTAAATTCACTATCATAAACTTTTTAATATAAAAACAAGTAAAAGTGCTATATTCGGCTGTGCCGAGTCTTATATACCCTTCACCATAGTGTATTTGTAAAATATCAATGTTATAAAATTTATATTTATTTCATTTTCCTTTATTATAGAAATAGCAAAATAAAATAAACAACTACAATAAACACACAAAAAACAAAATACACAAGGCAGTAAAACCAACAGACATCCAAACATACGAAACGAAATACACAAAAAAACAAAATACACAACGCAATGAAACCAACAGACATCCAAACATACGAAACTGAATACGCCAAGAAACAAAAACAATATACACAAGACAATGAAACACACAGCCATCCAAACATACGAAACTGAATACACCAAGAAACAAAAACAACATACACATGGCAATGAAACACACAGCCATTCAAACATACGAAACGAAATAATCAAAAAAAAAAAAAAACAAGTAAGAGTGCTATATTCGGCTGTGCCGAATCTTATATACCCTTCACCACAATGTATTTAAAAAATATCAATTCTATAAAATTTTAATTTATTTCATTTTCCCGTTTATATCATTATTATACCAATAGCAAAACGAACAACAACAACGCTAAACGAAATAAACACACAAAAAAAATAAAATACACAAGGCAGTAAAACCAACAGACATCCAAACATACGAAACGAAATACACAAAAAAACAAAAACAAAATACACAACGCAATGAAACCAACAGACATCCAAACATACGAAACTGAATACACCAAAAAACAAAAACAATATACACAAGGCAATGAAACATACGAACCGAAATACTAAAAAAAAAACAAAAACAAAATACACAACGCAATGAAACCAACAGACATCCAAACATACGAAACTAAATGCACCAAGAAACAAAAACAATATACACAAGGCAATGAAACACACAGGCATCCAAACATAAGAAACGAAAAATCAATGAATAAGCAGTGTTGTTGTTGTTGCTTATATCAAAGCATGAAAAAAATTGTCTTTTTTATGAAATTTTCAGAGGTTGTCTCGGATTTTTGCTCATATCTCCGGTATTTATGGACCGATTTTGCTGATTTTAAATAGCGATCTTCTCGAAAGCATGTCTAACAGAATTATTGAAGATTCGGATCTCGCCGATATCTGGGGTCCTCTAAAAACTGATTTCAACAAACACACAGACGGACAGACAGACTGACAGACAGACAGACTGACAGACAGCTTAATCAACTACGCTACCTATAAGGATCCAGAATATATATACTTTATGGGGTCGGAAAATTATAATTTGAAAATTACAAACGGAATGACAAACTTATATATACCCTTCTCACGAAGGTGAAGGGTATAAAAAAACAAAATACACAACGCAATGAATAAGCAGTGTTGTTGTTGCTTATTTTTTATGAAATTTTCAGAGGTTGCCTCGGATTTTTGCTTATATCTCCGTTGTTTATGGACGGATTTTGCTGATTTTAAATAGGAAACTTCTCGAAAGCATGTCTGATAGAATTATTGAAGATTTGAATCCCGAAGATATCTGGGGTCTTCAGAAAACTGATTTCAACAGACAAACAGACGGACAGACAGCGGACATGGCTTAATCGGCTCCGCTATCTATAAGGATTCAGAATATATGTACTTTATAGGATCGGAAAATTATATTTTGGAAATTACAAACGGAATGACAAACTTATATATACCCTTCTCACGAAGGTGAAGGGTATAATTATATTAGAATGAAAGAGCTCATCCATATAATCAATCCGATATAAACTCTCAAAGATATAAGCTTTTAAATTTGTATACCTAAGTATAGCTTTTTTCATCGGGATTTGGCAGATTTCTGAACTTTCGATGTTTTTGCAAAAGATTGAAAATCGATATCCACAAACAGAACACTAATTCGTATTGCACTTGGAAGTAGACACGAGATTTCAGAATATGATTGTAAAACGCAACGTCATATCCAAACAAATGGGCCACAGATTGTATACATATGCATGCACATTGGCAATGAACTGTCAAGAACTGCAACGTCCCACTAGTGCTTACAAACTTCAAATCGCCTTTATTGTCAGATGGTTAATCAGGTTGACATAAGCAGAAATTGAAACTGCCATGGAATAGAAATAAAGAATTTTTAATTTTAACCATTGATTACCGTTTATGATATTATAATTTTATAGACTGACCACGGATCGAACTTAGCAAGTTATATAAAATAAAATAAATCACTAAAGTACATGGGTCACAAGAGAAAAAGATTATGCAACAGAGTCAGAGGCAAAGTATGATGACCATAGCAAGGATTTAAATTTTTCATCAAACAATTGTTTAAATTTATTAAAAA